CCCAGCCTGCACCCTCTCCAATCTGGGACCCCTTGAGGGATGTCTGACTGCCCGTTTCAGCCTGATCCTGGTAAGGTCGAGTCTAAACAGACAGTCAGACATTCCTCTCACAATCCAGGACTGCTGGCTCCCAGCTGCTCTACTGTCTGCCTTCCTGATTGCTCCTAATCATTTCTGTGTGTCAGCCTGATCACCCCCTAACCACTCCCCTGACAGCCTGATTGATGCCTAACTGCTCCCCTGCCAGCCTGATTCCTCCTCACTGCCCTCCCCTGCAGGCCTGGGTCCCCCCAACTGCCCTCCCTGCAAGCCTGGTTGCCCCCAACTTCCCTCCTCAGCCAGCTTGGTCACCCATAACTTTTATCCCCTGTAGGCTTGATCTCCCTAACTTCCCTCCCTTGTAAATCTGGTCCCTCCCAAATGCTCTCCCCTGCTGGCCTGATTGCCCACAACTGCCCTCCCTTACAGGCCTGGTCCCTGCCAACTACCCTCCTCTGCTGGCCTGATCACCCACAACTGCCCTCCCTTGCAAAGCCTGTTCCCTCCCAACTACCATCCCCTGCTGGTCATCTTGTGGCAGCCATCTTATGTCCACATGGGGGTAGGATCTTTGACCACATAGAGGCAGCCTCTTGTGTGTTGGAATGATGGTCAATCTGCACATTACTCTCTTATTAGGTAGGATAGAGGCCTGGTGCATGGGTGGAGCTGGCTGGTTTGCCCTGAAGGGCTTCCTGGATCAGGGTTGGGGTTCCCTTGAGGCATGGGATGGCTGGGCAAAGGGCCTGTGGTGGTTTGCAGGCTGGCCCTGCCCCCAGCGACACAAGCAGAGGCCCTGAGATCTGGGATTTATTTATCTTCTATAATTGAGACTTTGTAGCCTTGAGTAGAGGCCGGGGCTGGCCAGGAAGTTTGACTTTGTCCATTGCCAGGGTAACCCAAGCTTCCTACTTGCTCTGTTGCTGCAGCCTTTTTTGTAAGGATTTGTTTATCTTCTATAATTGAAACTTTGTAGCCTTGAGTGAAGGCCAGGGCCGGCCAGAGTGGGCAGAAAGCTTGGCTTCCTCCATCTCTGGGGAAACTCAATCCTCCTGCTTGTTCAGTGGCCAGTTGCCATCTTGGTTGGATTAATTTGCATACTTATTCCTGATTGGTTGGTAGGCTTGGCTTGTGGGTGTAGTGGAGTAATGGTTAATTTGCATGTTTCTCTTTTATTAGTGTAAATTGAGGATTTGCCCTTTTCCTTCTCTCAGTTTTTATGAATTCTGATGCTCCTTTGTAAAGTGCCTGCACTTTTTGGATTCTATGCCTCCTTTCATCATTATGCAATATACCTGTTGATTCCTGGCAATATTCTTCACTCTGAAGTCCTCTTTCTCTAAAATTAACAGAGCCACACCAGCTTTCTTTGGATTAGTGTTAGCATGGTATACCTTTTCTATCTGTTTACTTTTAACCTCTATGTATTATGATATTATATTTAAAGCAGATTTCTTGAAGATGGCATGTAGTTTATTCTTTTGCTTTTTCCATTCTGATGATGTGTGTCTATTAATTGTTGTATGTAACTCATTTTCAGTCAGTGTAATTTTTGGTATGTTTGGATTTAGGTCTATCATCTGATTTGCTTTTTCTTTGTTCCCTCTTTTTTGTTCTCTGTTTTTCTTTCCTTTTTGTGGGTTATTTGAATGTATTATCTTATTTCATTTGAATTTACCTATTTAATTTTTTACTCTCTCTCTTTGTTTAGCTTCTTTGGTGCTCGTTCTAAGGATTAGGATAAACATACTTAACTTTTTAATAGTCTACTTATAATTAATGTTTTACTGCTACAAATAAAGTACAGAAACCTTACCTCTATGCACATCCCTTTGGCCTCCCCTGTATCTGTTATGGTTGTCATGTGCATCCCACCTATTACAATTTGCTTCCAACCATTAAGTGTGTTTTAAGAACTTAAGAGATAAAATAGTTATTATACTTTTCCAAACATTTACCATTTCTATTGTTCTTTCTCATTACTAAAATACCAGTTTCCTTCTGTTATGATTTCCTTCTCACCTGAAGAAATTCTTTTAGTATTATATTTTAGAGAAAGTTTAATGACAAGCAATTCTCTGTATTTACCTCTATCTGGGAATATATTTATTTCTGCTCTAGTTCCTGAAGGATGTTTTTGCCGGATAGGAAATTCTGTGCATTTCTTTTCAGCACTTAGAAACACTGTTCTCTGCCTTCTGCTTTCTTATGAGAAAACTCGCGGTCATTCACATTGCTGTTTCCCTGTGTGTGATGTGTTGTTCTTTTCTGGCTGCTTTAAGGAGTTCTCATTGTCTTTAGGATTGAACAGTTGGTTATGTTGT